TGAATGACTACAAAAGGTTCGAAACTTTTATTTAAACTTGGTAAATAAGAGATACGGTGGCTCTTAGCCAATTCACAAATGTCACAACGGAAATCCATAGTATTCAAAACTGAGAGTAGATGTGGTCGCAATTTGCGAAGATAACCAAAGGAAAGATGTCCGAGTCTTCGGTGCCATAACCAGATAAGGGCTCTAGCTTTGTCTTGGCTGCTAGTGTGATTGGCCTGACTTATTTTTGGTCCTCCATTTTCCAATTCCAAGTAGTAGAGTTTGCCCCGTCTAACACCATAACCAAGAATCTTCCGCGTTAGAATGTCCTGAAAAACACAAAATGAGGGCCAAAAAGTGACAGTGCAAGCAAGAATAGAGGTAATTTGGCTAACAGACAAAAGATTATATTCAAGGGATGGAACAACAAGGACAGTATCTAAAGTGAGAGTTTTAGATAGAGTGACAGAGCCCTCTCCAGTAATGGGAGATGTACTACCATTAGCCGTGGAGGTAACAGATTGAGGAGAAGGGAAAATAGATTGTAATTGACTAGAGTCCCTAGTCATTTGATCGGATGCACCTGTATCAATAATCTAAGTATTATTCTTAGAAATTGCAGAGAACAAAGAGGCCTTACCATTAATACCTGAGTGGGCAATGTTTGTTGTAGGCTGCAATGGCTCTGCCTCTGTAAATGTCACCATTGCCTTCCTACCGAGCTTCTTGCGCGGTTTCTTGGTGAAATCCCACCACTCCGGATAGCCAATAAGTTCATAGCATCGTTGTTTCGAATGACCGGTTTCACCACAATGAGTACACATCAGGCCGCCAGACTTTCTAGTGGACTGATTGCTTCGATTTCTCGACGAGCCAAAAGATGGTCCTGGGCGAGTATGGTTGGTCAGCAGTGCTGAGTTCTCAGAGATTTGATGAGAACCGTTCATGGTCTGTCTCTGTTGGTATTCTCTCCGAACATATGCATACGTGCTCTCCAAATCAAGTTTCGGGTCTTTTCGTAACGTTTCGCCACGAACCTGGTCAAATTCGGAATCGAGTCCACTCAAAAAAATATGGACCCGAAGCCTAGCCATCGCGGAATACAACTGGACCACCCCTTCAACTGTTCCTTCCTGAGAGATAGTCCTATGATCAATTTCTTGGAAAATAGCAAGGAGTTCATTATAGTATGTTGATAAGGGTCGATCATTTTGCGAGGTAGAGAATGATCTCCGATTCAATTAAAAAATACAAGTTTCGTCTGATCCATCATAGAAGGTTTTCGATATAGCCTCCCATATTGCCTGGGCAGTAGGAAGACGAATAAATCGATGCATCAGCGACGGGCTCATTGAGTCAATAAGCCAACTTTTTGCTTTGTGATTTTCGGTAATCCATGTTCCCAGATTGGGATCGCGGGGCGCCGGTTTTCTTGCTTCGCCAGTGAGATATCCAGCCTTGTTACGTGCGCCAATACGCATCTCCATGAGTTGAGACCATAAGGAATAATTTGTCTCATCAAGTGTGATGCTGGTAGGAAACGCAGAATTGTCTTGGTGGACAATGATCTGCGGTGTTGAGGCTGGTTCGGCCGTTGGGGTTGATACGCCTGGAGTGACATCCATTTGGACTCACACCAGATTAATAGTGGTGTGGAAGAAAACTTAGCAGATGGTTGATTACAAAGTGCTGTAGGATCGACGATGCTTTGATACCATGTGAAAATAATGGTTTCTGTATATATTATTCCTCAACAGTAAGACAATATATATGGATATAAGTTATATCCTGTAAATAAGGAAACAAACCTATTCTAAAGGAAACTAAATAAATCAGTCCTATTCTAAAGGAATCTAAACATATCTAGAATCAATTAATCTAAATCTTATATACAGCTCATACACAGCTCACGCCAACACCGCCATCACCGTAACACTACTGTCACCCTACTATCTCATCTTTACCCCTATCACCACAACTAATATTACTTGTACATAAGCCCCTAAGCCCTAATGCTCAAAGTAAAGATGATTGATTATATACCTATTTGACTATTTCATGAGATGAAAAACAAAATAATGTTTGGAATGATTTGTGATTTTTTTTTTAGTTAAATAGATAGTTCTGAGAAAAAAAAATGATTTATTGATGTGTAGGATATATAACATTTCATCTTATTAGTTATTTTAGTCTTTTTTTTTCTTTTTTCTTTTTTTTTTAAACTATTTTAACCAAAAAAAATTCTTCCCAAACATGGCCTAAATATAATTTACCTAATCTAAAACTTTTCTCATCTTTTTTATTATTTATTTATTTTTTCATCAAAATTGTAAGATATTAATTTGTTAATAAAATTATATTATAACTAAAGAGATTGTTGCTGATCCATCAATTTAAATTTCTGACTTTTCCCTCACCACACTTTAAAATGTGACTACAAAATCACTCAACTAAACTCAATATCTAAAAACTTTACTCATCTTTAACACCCAAATATCATATCGATAGCCACTTGAGCACTTGCTCGGCGTCCACGACAACCATAATGAGCACCGACAAATTGAGTTGGTGGTTTTGTCGTAGTATTGCACTGACCTAACGGTCACCGATTCTGACTATCTAGGGGAAAAAATAATACTAATAATTCAGTTAAGAGAGATTTTGTGAGAAAAAAATTTTAAAAATTTATTTAGTTGAAAATTTTTAGAAAAAAAAAATTCAAAATCACTTTTATCTCTCCTCTCCTTTTTCATTCTCTCACATCTTATACATTAATCAATTATTTTTTCTTTTACACCCATTTATTCAACTAAAAAAAAATTAAATCATTTCAAACTCTAAAATTTCAAAACTATTTTCAAAAAATACAATCAAACAAATTTTTTAATTTTATAAACTTTTTTCAGAAAATTATTTTTCAAAATTATTTCATAAAATACAAATAAAACATTAAAATACCAATTTTTACTCATCAACAGTGAAAGAAACAGGAAAAGTGTTTAGGTGTGCAAGGTGCGTACCATATGCACTTGTGTAAGTTTTCACAAATATACATAAGTTATCTCACAAAATCGTATAAATTCTCACAAATATACATAAGTTCGGTAACGTTTATATTTACTATTTAGGAAATTCTACTATACACACCCTCACCATATGCACTCTTAAGTTTTGTCATTTTCTTTTTTAGTTATGACTAATTTTTTTTTAATTATGATTCATGAGATTTTTAATTATGTCTCATATATTGTTTGGTTATAATTATTATTTTTTAGTTATAATTTAAAAAGTATGAAATTATGTCATTTTTTTAAAAATTATGAAATGCATATAGTGCACACCCTTGTGTAAAAATTTTAAATTATAAACAAAAAATATTTGGATCTATTTTTGCTTTTATAAAATTTCTTAAAGTCTTATAACATAATATAATTTTTTTTTTAAAAATAACTTTTTATTTATTCTTTATTTTTTCATCCCCACCAACCATCACTCATCACTCGTCACCACCACTGTCGTCTACCACATCTAGCCACTGTCACCAACAACCTTCTCTCACAACAATCAACTATTACCATTAAGAATTACCTTCAGCCATCAACAATTAAATTTGGCCACCACTACCACCACCAAATGTTAGAATTACCTTTAATTAGGAGTGTTTGCGGTTTGGTTACAGCCCGGCGAGCCTCCAATCTACCATTCGTCCGTTGGATTGGCTGATGGAAAAAATTAATCCGCATTCGTCCGCCGGATTGGTGGATGCGGATTAAGCAGATTAACGAATTGACATATGGATGTGAATCAGTTTAGCGGTTTAAACTTTTATAAAATTTGAACATAATACAACAATTTATTAACTTTTTTTTTGAATAACAATCTAACTCAACATAATCAAAAGATTATTAAGTAAATTGTTAAATACTAATAATAAATATATATAAGAAAACAATACATTATTACAACTATTTCATTACTCTTTTTTTATTCAAAAACTATTTAATTTGATTTTTTTTAAAAAAATGACAAATTAAGCCTTATATTTTTCACACAAAAATATCAAATATCAACACTTGTCATTTGATAAAAGGATTTTCAAATTAAAACAAATTGAAAACACAATTACTATATAAATTATTTTTCAATTGAAAATATAAAATCTTACAAAATTAGTGGTTGTTCACTGCCTTCAACGGCTGACAATACAACTACCTTTGATTACTCCTCTCACTTATTTTAATCAATTCTAATTTATCTTTAAAAATGATCAGAGCATTATATCTCATGAGTGATTACTTGTGCTTTTCTGGGTAACTCACAGTGACTAAGGTAAATTTTACGAAATTTAAACTCATTTTAATTTTAATTTAATAATTTATTTTTTAATTATTATAATATGTTTTCTAGCAGAGAGATCGTTTCAAATATTATAGAACAAGGTATGATAGAGTGGTTTCCAAAGTATATATACTATTTTAGGGGTAAAATAGGGTCGAACAGAATGGATTGAGTTGTATAAGCTAAAACAACATTTCTAACTCCTACAAAATAGGTCGAACAGAATGGATTGAGTAGGCCAACGGGTCAATGCCCACCTCTATATTATTTCCAACATGCGTTTTAAAAGTTCTATAGGAGAATAATTATTAAATTGTATGAACTTTTAGTGGTTACAATAAAGATAAGAAATTGAAAATAATGGATAAAACAAAAATTAAAATCCGAACATAAGGTATTAAACTATTCTCACTTATATTTAAACTTTACATAGGAGATCCAATTAAGGGGAGGGTAAAAGTCATAGGAAGTATGAATACTTTAGATTTTAAATTTATAAATAGATTTGTAGGAAAAAGAAAAAGAGGGAAAAAATATTTCATTCACTTTTACGAATCTAAAATCCAAATTCAATGAAAATTTGAAAAAAGAAAATTATTTTCTCTTTATTTCCATATGTATTTGGTATGAGTAAGCTAATTTCTTTTCTTTTCTTTTCTTTTTTTGAAATGCAGAGTTCTCAAAGCACTAAATTTGAGTGGCGTTCTCCCCCGAGAATTGGTCAAACTCCCTCATCTCCTAGAATTGTAAGTATTTTTCTTTTCATTATAATGTATCATAAACAATGAATAGCAACTTGTCTTAAAAAATAAATTGTTTGTGTTTAAAATTATACTTGTCTTCAATATTTTTTAACAACAAATGTGATGAAATTATATAACTATAATAATCGAATTAATCTATTTTATTTTGTGTGTGAATAATTTATACAATATAACTTAAAAAAATAAGAGGGCTGCTAAATGCTCATATCCTTTTTCTTAGGACCCCCACTTATTTGAATCCCTACCATCAAAATTGTTCTCTTCCTCATTTTTCTTTAGACCTCTACCTACCATAATCCCAAATATACCCTCACCAAACAAACTTTTTGTCATTTTTTAATTGGCAACCTCAGCCTCAACTCCAGCGACTCCTCCTATAGTCCTCATCCTCCATTGGAGACCCTCATTCAGCCCTCATCCCTCATCGGCAGTCAACCATCACCACCCCATCCCTTATCGATCCACCACCTTTGTCTTATTCTTTTTCTTATTGTACCCTAGATCTCTCTCCCTTTATCGATCTACCACCGCAACCATCACCACCGCCACAACCACCCCCTTCTGCACCCATCATGTCCATCAACAGTGAAGAACGACGATGACTCCCTCATTCACACCCTTCCCATCATTGACGGTGAAATAGATTTGTGGGCTTCGACTCCCTATCTTGCAGTCAGTGAATTTGTTTGAATTGGTTTGATGGTTTGTTTGTTTTCTATGTTGGTTTGTTTGTTACAATGACTAATGAATAAACTGGGTTTTTATGTTCAGAACTAAGTAACCGAACAAATCCTTTATGTTCAACACTGTGTTACCGAACCAAAAAGATTCATTCAAAAATGTGTTACCGAATATTCAGGATTTGCTCATCATTGTGTTGCCAAACCTATTATGCTATCGTCAACTCTCCATCCATTGCGAGAGCGAGCGAGTGAGAGATGTATGAAAACCTAGGGATTTTAGAAGAAGACCAAGAAAAAAAAAATGAGAAGAGGAAGACAAGGGTGATGAAGAAGGGTTGTGTTGCTATAGCTGGCGAAGAGGGTTGGGTGCTGGTTTCGAAGGCTGTCAGTGGGAGTGGAAATGATGGTGGGTTGGTTGTCGGAGGGTGTGTTGGTCGTCGAAGGGTGTCTGCAAGAGTGGAAGTAGTGGTGGGATTGGGGTTAGGGCTAAACTTGGGAGGATAGAAATGAGGACAAAATTGAAATTTTATATTAGGATAAAATTATAATAAACTAAAGTAAAAAAATGAAATGTCCAAAATAAAAAGATAGAAACATTTAGAAGTTGTTTGGGATGTGCTATATAAGTGCACTTTTTTATTTTTTGGTTAAAAACGTAGAGAAAAAAAAGATATATGTTTGGGATAACTTTTTGACTTTTTACAGAAAAATATGTAATAAAATATTGTAGATGCAAAGTACACTGATCTGCAGCACTATGCCGGGGTATGCATTTCAATTTTTTTTTTTTAATGGAAATTGATGGCTTGCATTGTGGCACGTGGTATGACTTGGAAAATGTAGATGCAAAATACACTGAACTGCACTGTTGGACTGACTAAATCAAAGAGCAAAATTACGATTTTGCCCTCTAGCTTCCCCCCCCAACTTCTTCCAAATAGTATTAATTTTTTGACTTTTTAACTTTCATAGTGCATATGGAACAAGCACTTAGCAACCCCCTCAAAAATAATGAATCGAATCATCCAAAATATAACACATAGTAGGCCCACGAGCCTCAACTAGACCGGGCCCCGTCCACGTAGTGTACTTTTTGAGACAACAATCTCTCGTCTTCTAGGAAGGAAAAGGAATAGTAGCATAACATGGTAGAAGCAAATTAATTCTGCGGGGACATAATTTTTGAATGACAACACGTGGCCGAGGTGTCATCGAAGTGCCAGCCGAGGTGCCACGTGTCCTGGTCATGACGCCGAGATCATCTCGGCTAGGCCGAGGTTATCTGCGAAGATACCGGAATCCGGGATAAGCGGATAAGGGACAAGAGTCCTAGAATGAGAGAGGACTTGAGTTTGGGTAAAGATAAGACTATTAGAGAGTTTATCTCAATCCTACTGGGAGTCCAAGATTAGCGGCAATCCTAAGTCCATTGAAGCTAGGCTTATATTGGGACTAGGTTTGTGTTGGCTATAAAAGAGAGGTACCCTCATGGGTCTAAGGTATGCTTTTTATGCTTTGAATAGTGAGTTAAGTACTTTTGCTATCTTTGAGAGATAACTGACTTGATTGTCGGAGTGCCCCAGGTGGACGAACTACCACCGGAATCTCTTCTTTTTGTGACAGGTCATTCGGGCTTAATCTATTCTGTTAGTGTTCTCCAGCTAAGTGCTTGATTAATAGTGTGGTTGGAAATTGACACACACAATTTGGTGCCGTCTGTGGAAAAGAAGGGAGAAGATGGCCAACGATGGACAAAAAGAAAAGGTTGGAGACGACATCCCTACTGAGAGTGGGAAACATATTGACCTTGACGTGGAAGAAGACAACTGCAACGAAGAGACTCGTGATAAGAATCACAGAGGAAAGGACGTCAGCCAGGAGGGCGGCGTACCGAAGAAATCGGACCGGAGCGGGTATTATAACGAGGACGGCCTCCAGGTATGGAAAGATAGATGCCTACGGAAGGACGACGAGATAAAAGGAAAGACGGACAAATTGGCGGACCTATAAATGGTCATCAATTTCATGATGTAGAACAACGTCATGCAGCCACCGTTTTCGCTACAAGATATGCCGATTCCAGCGGCCAAGAAAGATGCCCAGGAAGGGGGGCAGAAAACGGTTCCTGCAGTCCCTCAGCATGGCAGGACCAAGGGACATTCTCACCGGCTTTCGCGGGAGGTCGGGCATGGAGAATCCCAGAAGACACGTCGAACAAAAGAAACCTACACCAAAGAACATCGGGATGTTCAGGGGAAGGAACTCTGTTTCGACACGACCAATGGAGGGAGGTCCAAAAGGACTCACAATGACATTGGAAGTAGTGTAGCAAAGACGTTGAAATCGGGAGATAGCCGAGCTCCTGGACGAACTAAGCAGGATCTGAGGGATTACCTCCAGAGAAAGCGACAAGATGCCAATGTGACCTCTCCGGTCAAGCCGATAACACCATTCTCGGTAGAGTTGGACAAATTTGAGGCCCCGAAAAGGTTCAACATGCCGAGATTCCAGATATAAGACGGTAAGTCGGACCCAAACTTTCACGTCAGCTTGTACTTGAACTCAATGGCATTATACACCGGGAACGAGCCGTTGCTCTGCAAGGTGTTCCCTTCGTCCTTTGGGGAAATTGTATCAGACTGGTTTCACAAGTTGCCGAAAGGAACTGTGAAAACTTGGGAGGGCCTGGCCGAGATATTTGTGGCCAGGTTTGTAACGAACAAACTACAACCGTTAAGGGTGGACTCCTTGATGGCCCTGAGAATCAGTGAGGATGAAAGCCTTAGGGCTTATGCCAAAAGGTATTATGAGGTGTTCAACCGAATATTAGGATGCAACCAAGAGGTGGCGGTCGTGTCCTTTAAGAACGGCCTGAAAGATGACTGTCTGCTTCGAAAATCACTGGCAAAGACACTGCCAAAGAGTATGGAGGAACTCATGGCCAGAACTGAGAAGTATGCAAGGGCCGGGGAAGACACGCGGGGGCAGATGGCTGGAAAATGATGCTTGGGAGTTAGAATTTACAAACTAAGATTAGCTTAACACCTGTTGAAATTTAAATTTACAAATTGAAGTTAAACCGAGGATGTGTTTAACATTTGTTGAAATTTAAATTTACAAGTTGAAGTTAAACTGAGGTCATGTTTAACACTTGTTGAAATTTTAAGAAAAATTTACAAGTTGAAGTTAAATCGAGGTCATGTTTAATACTTGTTGAAATTTTAAGAAAAAATTACAAGCTGAAGTTAAACCGGGGTCATGATTAAAGGAATGAATGATATAGGTTCTATCACCTCAGGATGCCAAGGTAATAGAACCTAGGGGGCAGTTGTGAGGACATAATTTTTGAATGACAACATGTGGCCGAAGTGTCACCGAAGTGCCAGCCGAGGTGCCATGTGTCCTGGTCATGATGCCGATGTTATCTGCGAAGATACCGGAATCCGGGATAAGCGGATAAGGGACAAGAGTCCTAGAATGAGAGAGGACTTCAGTTTGAGTAAAGATAAGACTCTTAGAGAGTTTATCCCAATCCTACTGGGAGTCTAAGATTAGCAGTAATCCTAAGTCCATTGAAGCTAGGCTTTTATTGGGACTAGGTTTGTGTTGGCTATAAAAGAGAGGCACCCTCATGGGTCTAATGTATGCTTTTTATGCTCTGAATAGTGAGTTAAACACTTTTGCTATCTTTGAGAGATAACTGACTTGATCATCGGAGTTCTCCCAGGTAGACGAACCACTGCCGGAATCTCTTCTTTTTGTGACAGGTCGTTCGGGCTTAATCTATTCTGCTAGTGTTCTCTAGTTAAGTGCTTGATTAACAGTGTGGTCAGAAATTGACACACAAATTCTTAAAACAAAAATTCTTTATTATATGTCCCCGTGTTTTCTTCGAGCTTTTGTATCATAACTCGTGACAATATATGATTTTCTTTTTTTCTCTATAAATTTTGCTTCTAATTATAAGCATACATTAAATAGTGAGAATAAAAAAACGAGATTGAACACAAAATAATAAAAAAAGTAAACATCAAATTTTCCCTGTCCTTAACATTTTGTAATGTTATTCTCCCTCCCTTATTGCACAGACAATTTTTTTTTTGTTTTTATATTTAAAATTTCTATTGTGTTAAAATTACAACAATTTTTTTGTAAAATTATATTAAAGTATTTTAAATTAAAAAGGTTTATTGTAACTTTAGGACAAAAATGAAATGAATTGATATAAAAGTAGAGTGAGTGTCCTATACTACTATCCAAACGGAACACGTGTGCTGATGCTATGACAAAATTTGGAAATGATCGACTTAAAAAGATCTTCTAGTAGTTAATGTCATCCAAAAAAAAATTTATGTACCCAAAAAAAAAAAAAAAAAAAAAAACTCACCAAATTAATAAATCATCAATTATAATTAGGTTGAGTTTGGAAAATTGCTAAATAAGTAATTTATTTATTTATTTGTTACAAATTATTACATTACATTTTTTATTTTTTTACATAATTTTTGTAAATAGTCAAAAATTATTAAATAAGCAAATCTCAAATGACTAGGTACTGATTACTCCCTCATTTGTATAGTGACATCTCCAAGAATTATGTTAATGGTACTATCCCTCCAGAATGGGGTTCCTTGCCGCGAATAATGCACGTGTATGTACCCCAAGCACGTATACTTACTAGTAGTATATCATTTTGTATTGTTTTTTAATTTCAAATTTATGATCTGATTTTTTTTTTTTTGGGGGGGTGATCCTCACCATAAATCCATTCAAAAATCTAAGTTCGGAACATAACATTCTAAATTTTTTGTGTTTATGTTTTTAATACAAAAACAGTGTTATTGCAGATCCCTCTTAGGAAATCGAATAACAGGTTCAATTCCAAAAGAATTAGGAAACATCACCACACTTGAAAGCATGTAAACTTCTTATTATTACTCATATGTATTTTTTATTTTTATTTTTATTTTTTATGCTTATGAAGAATTTATATCACTTTGTTGTCAAAATTGTAATTTTTGATGCTTATATCATAGAGTCCTCGAGTTCAATCAGCTGTATGGACCACTTCCTCAGGAGCTTGGTAACCTTACCCGCCTTGAGAAACTGTAATGCTCTTTTACTTTCTCCAATTTTTTTATTTTTTAAATTATACGTGCTCTCCTCTTTATCCTTTCGTTTGGATGAAATGATTTAGTAAGAAATAATAGAAAAAACTAGAATCATGAAAAAGTATAACAATTTAATTATTAAAATTTATAAATTTTATTATTAATTTGTAATTTTTTTTTTCTAAGCCTTCACTGTGCTATTATTTCCCCTGTTTGGTTTATAAATTATGTAAGAAATGATAAGATAAGAAACTCTATTATTGAGTATATTTTATTTCTCATCAAAAGTAATAAAAATTGGTGAGAAACAAAATAATTAATTATAAAATATTTATAAAATCAAAATTATATCTTAAAAAGCATAGAAAGAAAACTAAAGGGTAAATTACACTCACCTCCCTTGAGGTTTCTGACAAATACAGGGACCTCCCCTGTAATTTCAATAATTACAGTAACCTCTCCTACTTTACCTAATATTGTACATATTCCCCCAATCCGTCAATTATACATAAACGACGTTACTTTTGTATACAAAATGACCATATTACCCTTTTATTTGAGTTTGAAAAGATGAAAATACCCTTCGATTATAGTATTCAACTTTATTTTTAATTTTAATTTTAATTTTTTGTTCTCTCTCATCTCATCTCATCTCATCTCATCTCATCTCCCAATCCCAACTTCACTCTGGTTTCGAATTGCAACAACAGTGTAATTTGAATTCTCTAAATCACTCTCATTGTTCCTAGGCACTACCTGAAGCTCCACCGAACCAGAATCAGAAAACCCACCAACCACAGTTGGCCGAGCCTCGTACACCAATGCCGAAAGCTCCTCGTCCCGATTTGAAGCCAATTTCACCAAGATCTTCAAAAGCCCTCCAGGAGCCAAAACTGCAACCAAATCATACAAAGCAAGTGCAATTAGCAAAACCCAAGTGGTCCATTCAACCAAATTGATAAACCAAGCCGCCATAATAATCCCCAAAGTAACCATAAACCCTTGTTTCTAGAAAATGGGTATAGCACGAGAGAACACAGAGAGAACACCCACAACAGTGAAATTGAGAAGCAAGACAAAACAAGTGATGGAATCAATTGGGATTGAGAAATGTTGGATGATGGAGAGGAAGATTGAGCAACCTATTGCGGCGAGGACGAAGAAGGCGGAGAAGCGAGTGTAATTCTTGAGGAAATTGGTGAAATTGTAGTAGTAAAGGAGGACGAGGAGGAAAGTGACAATAGAGATGATGATGATGAAGACTAGGGCGTTGAGAAGAGCGCCTTCGAGTTTCTAGGTAGCGGAGTTGGAGGGGGTTTCGAGGTAGACCAGATTAGTGGCGGTACGAATGGGTGCGGTAACGACAGAGGAGGAGGAGGAGGATGAGGAGAGGGAGTAGACTAGGAGGACGACTAAGAGCATGCAGATCGAGACTGGGGCCATGACTCCAATGATTTCGAGTTCGATGGATTCGAGAATGCTTCCGTTCATTGGAGGGTTTTAGGTTGGGAAATTTAGTCGAATGAGTGATGTAAGGGTTTCAGGGGGTGAGGGTTAGGGATTGAGGGTGGGAAGAAAGAGAGAGAGAGGGCAATTTAGGAGACATTTTTGAAGATTTGAGAGAGAGAGAGAGAGAGAGTAATGAAGTTAGCAGTCACAAAATGAAGTCAAAGGAAACTACCCACTATTTTCTCAGAAAATACACTATTCCGGACATAGATAGGTTGAGGACACTTGAGGGCATTATGAACATTTTAATGTTCGGCTTTGATGCCATCAGCTTTTTCTGTGAAATAAATAAACAGAAGTCAACAGAAGGGGGAATCTTGACATTGTCAGGTAAAGTTGAGGAGGTTACTGTAATTATTCAAATCACCGGGGAGGTTCCTGTATTTGTCAGAAACCTCAGGGGAGGTAAATGTAATTTATCCTAAAATAATTACAACCCTACATCGAAAAAAGAAAGAAAAAAAAAAGAAAGTTGTTTCACTTATATAAAGTGAATATTATATTCTCATTTAATATTATAACATTGTGCATGTTTCAGTTCAAGATGGTTTAAATTTTAAAATAAAATTTAAAGGTTTTAATTAATTAATTTTATTGTAAATTGGTTAGTCTTGTGACTTAGCTGATTAGGCTGAATCATTTTCGGTTTGATTGATTCACTGGTTTAACCACAGTTTTAATTGTTTTATCAAAATATATTGCTTAGATTTGTTTGATTTGAAATAAACTAAGATTGACCTTATTATAAATTAAACGACTGAAATTGTTTGATTAGAAATGAACTTCCCGTCCAAACAACTATTAACTTTTATTTTACAATCCCACATTAGCAAAATGAGAAAAAAATGAGTTATTTCACTATATAAATCTTATACTCTTATTTAATATTGTAGTGTTGGTCTATTTGATACATTTTATTATAAATTAAAAATTGATAATAAAAAAATACAAACTGAAAACACCTCTACCTCAACTTCTGATTTCTAAAAAAAAATACAATTTTTAAATTATTTTTTTCATTTTATTTAAATTATTTCTGCCTAATCTATACTATATATTAAAGGAAAAATTAGTGAAACATCCCTCTCTACCTTTGTGTAGTAGGAAAGGTCCAAGATATGCTTTTTTATTAGCTAAAGTCCTTTGACATTTTCACAAACAAAATTTATCTGATTTCACAGAGAAAATTTCTCTATGAAAATTGAAATTTCTCTAAGTCGAGGCGACATTTCTCTTAGTCCAATTTTCTCTGTGAAAATATTGAAAGACTTTAACTATTATGAAAATATTATATATCTTTTATCTTATAAAATTTTAATATTAGGGATCTTAAAAAAAATCTCCAATATTAAGCACTCATTTGAGAAGTTGGGTTGTGGTTAGTTGGAGCTAAAATAATCACAAAAAGATAAAATAAGTTTTTTAGCTCAATAAGATAAAATGTCACATCCACATCATAATCATTTTATTTTTTCTCTCACAAAA